GGAGGAGAGCTTCGCTGACACATCTTGTGTATTGCTCTGTTTCTGTGAATTGTTGATTATATCCTTTGATTTCTCTGATTTGAATGTCATAATTAATTTTTTTGCTTACTGCTAAATTCTGAACACTTGTCCTTTGTTAGCTATGTGCAGTCCAAATATCTTTTTCTAGTCTATGGCTTTTTTTTAATGCTTCAAAGTTTTAAATATATTTATCTATCTATTATAAAATGGGTTTTATGTTCCCATGAATGAAAAATACCAAAGGAGGCCTGGGGGTGGAGCTCAGTGTTAGAGTGCTTGCCTTGCTTGCTTGGATCCCTGGGTTGGATCTTCGGCATTGCAAAGAATCCAAAAAACATACAATGCAAAATTTTTCCTCCAAATTCTCTTTCATCCAGTTCCCTTCTGCAGAGGCATTGCGATCTCAGTTTTAAAATATTTTGTTTCCAATGGTACTTGTTATAGAGAAATTTTAAATTTTCTTTGTAGATTGTGCTTTTTACATCGTAAGTAACATTAAGTAACATCTTAATAAACATTTCTACTGTCTTATTCTTTTTTTTTTTTTTTTGTGATAGGGTCTTGCCGTGCAGTTCAGGCTGGCTTCTTAACTGTGTAGCTCAGGCTGGCCTTGAACTCACAGCAATCCTCCTGCCTCGTCCTCCCAAATGCTGGGATTACACATGTGCACCACCACGCCCAGCCAGAATTTATGTGTTTGTGTATGTGTGATGTAGGGATGACCTTTCTCCCCATATTGTAAAACTTCTCATGCCTCTGCTCATACACGAAGTAACTAAGTTGTATTTGTCTAGTGCAGCTTGGGGTGGTGATGGAAAGTGTGTTGTTCAGCTGCGTCTATGACACATACAGTTAACTGGTCTAATGTCCAAATTCTGTTTTGTTCCTACTTGCAGAAGAGTGCTAACAGTTGCAGTAAATACTGCCTTTCAGACTCCATAATGTGCCCTTGTGTGCTTCAGTATGTGTGGAATTCGCGTAGGCTGTGCTGGGGTAGCGAGAGGGAGTTTCTTAGTCCCCTTTTCTTGGGACTAACCTTTTGCTGTCTCTTCGGTCCCAATGCCTCATCAGAAACTCTCAGCATTTATGTAAGACATTTATTTATTTTTCTACAACTTGAGCAAATTTAAGATTTAGTTTTAAAATATTGTAGAGTAGGAAGTTGCTTTTGCTTAAATATACTGTTTTCATTTTAGTTTTAGGAGTTTCTTAAGTTATTAAGCATGTGCTTTATATTCTTAGCTTTGTACTGTGGGATTGTGTATCCTTTGGGCAGCTATTAATGTACTTTGTGACATGGGATTCTTTTTCTTTTCTTTTCTTTTCTTTTCTTTCTTTTCTTTTCTTCTTTCTCTTTCTCTCTCTCTCCCCCCTCCCCTGGTACTGGGGATTGACCTTGGGATCTTGCGCATGCCAGTCAGGTGCTTACACATGGGAGTAACTTAAAAAGTGTCTTCCATCTGCTGTTTAGGTTTTGTATGTATCTAGATGTTCGCCAAAGCCTCATGCAGTTCGAGGTGGGGATTTTTGGTGGTGGCTGGATCTAGGGTGTGATGCTGGGATCAAGGGTGTGTTATTACTAAATCAATCTACTAGTTGGTTTGGCGCAGTTCTGGATGGGTAAGCTATAGGGGACAAAAAGAGGGCCGTTGCCTGTTGCTTGCTGCTCGTTGCTTGGGTGCTTTTGCTGCCTTCCACCGGCCACACACTGTTCTCCTCTGTGCTGCTTGTGTGCCCTGCCACCCTGCGCTGGAGCCAGGGGCTTGTGAACTGAAACCTCTACAAACTGTGAGCCTTTCCTCCTTAATTCTTGGGTGTTGGGTATTGTGTTTCAGCCATGAGGAAAGTAAAAGACAGATACTGTCTTACCAGATGTTCCACTTAGAAAAAAATGAAGGGGTTAAAAAAAGAGCTAGTTAAAAAAAAAAAATTAAAGTGTAGGGTAATAAGAGTGAATAAACATAAGACAGAGGAGGGAAGCAGAGAGGAAAGAAAAGAGATTGTGGTTCTTATGTGTTAGCACTTTGAAGATTTTTTTTTTTTTTTTTTTACAGAGGAGGGAAGCAGAGAGGAAAGAAAAGAGATTGTGGTTCTTATGTGTTAGCACTTTGAAGATTTTTTTTTTTTTTTTCTTGAGTTCATCATAAACAGGTGGCAACTTCCAATCTATTTTTTTTCCCAGTGGCAACTTCAAATCTGTTTTTTTTTTCCTACCTGTTCAGGCTATTTAAGGGAGGCAGTGTTAGGGTCAAGGCCCAGTAGGAAGAACTCTGTTGAGAAACAATATAGCCAGTGGCTTTGTGCATTTAGCTCCTTTCTCATTTGTGTATTTGATCTAATTTAGTGCTATGAGGATTGGCTGTGATGTAAGTTTTAGAATCATTAGTCCTGTTTTGTTTTTTTTTTTTTTTTTTGTTGTTGTTGTTGTTTGTTTGTTTTGGTACCAGGGATCAAACTCAGGACCTTGTGCTTGCCAGGCAGGCATTTATGCCACTGAGCTATCTCTCTGGCTCCAAGTTTTAGAATTTTAACTGGGTCATGTTTTGGACATTAATAAAATATGACTGTAGATTTTATGTGTATATATTGTTCTACTTCAGGAATGTCATGGATGCTGTTCATATGTATTTATATGTTAGAACTAATTTGATCTGAAATTATTTAGAATTAAATTGAATGTACAACTGGGCGTGATGGTACATGCCTGTATCCCAGCACTTGGCAGGATGACATAGGACAATTGTCAAGAGTTTGAGGCCAGTCTGGGCTCCATAGTGAGTCCAAGGCAAGCCTGGACTGCGTAGCAAGACCCTGACTCACAAACAAACAAATAATTAAATGGGGTGTGAATTCCATAAGGCGATTAGTTTTAGATTTGATAAATTATGATTCTTTTTGGTGCCAACGCATTTCATGGTTTTCTAGACTTTTCAGTAATTTCACTTTGGCAGTGATTATAAATAGTAATTCTAGGCAGGCATGGTGGTGCATGCCTATAATCCCAGCACTCAAGAGGCTGAAGCAGGAGGATTTTTTTGAGTTCAAGACCAGCCTGGGCTACAAAGTGAGCTCAACGCCAGGCCAAAAAAAAAAAAAAAAAAAAAGTAATTCTGTATGGCCTCTTGTTTCTTGCCTGAAATGGACATTTAAAAATAGGCTTTTTAGGCACGATGGTGGCATGCTTTTTAATATATTTTAGGGAAGGGTCTACAGGGTGTTCAGGTCTCACTGTTAGATCAGACTTGTAGTGACCCACCTGTTTACAGCCTCCCAAGAGCTGGGATTACAGGTGCGTGGGTCACCACACTCCAGTCTCAAAGGCTGTCCCCTGGGGGCGGGGCCGGCACTGCAGGCCTGGAGATTGAACCTCTAGCTCCTGCGCCTGCTTGCAGATGCTTTATTTATTTATTTTTGGTGGAACTGGGGATTGAACTCAGGCCCTTGTGCTTGCCAGGCAAGAGCTTATCCTACTGAGTCACTTCCCCAGCCCCTTGCAGGCAGTTTAATCTGCTAAGCTATTTGATCCCAGCTACTCGGGAGATTGAGGCATGGAGCTGTGTAAATTGCGGGACAGCCTGGGCTATGTAATGAGACCTTATCTGAAAGTGAAAAATATAAGAAATGCTGTGACGAAGTACTTGTCCAGGATGTAGGAGGCCCTGGGCTCAATCCTCAGCATTGGGAGGGAATCTTGTCCAAGTTCATATGCACTCTAATCTGACTGGATTTATTACAATCATTGATATCTTTAAATTTATGCAGGAAAACAACCTATTCTCATGTGTAAAAAGGTTGAGGAGACACATTTTAAGTCTTCTCAAGTGACTTTTTGGTCATATATTCATAATTTTATTATTTTTATGTGATTTCTCAGTGCATTATCATTTTAGAGAAAAAAGGAATCTTGTCACCAACTGAACATTTAGGCTATTGATTAATAATTTTTCAAGGGAGTAGAGATGAACTTTGAAGTTTACCCAATCTTATTTTCATTATACTACTATTAAAAATTATCCACATAGTGTTGGCAGAATGTTTTATTGGTCTTTTCTATTTAGTATTTAAGCTGTGTCATTTTCTGTGGAGTAGTGCCTTAGTGTGCCTAGCTGTCATGGGCAACTGTAGTGATGGTTTTTATTGGGAAATGTGTGTATGAGTCAGGTGTGTTTACCTGCCTGACTGAGATAGGATGACTTGTCCTTCCTGGCTTGTGTTGTAGCAGTTCTTCAGTCATATAACAGATGACTATTTATACAATACTATAATAAGGAGTATTGTTATTTATATAATGAGGATTATGACACGCCATTAGAGTTAATTGACAATGGGTATGATGTGTCTGCTATAAGTGATGAACAACACAGTTCTTTTTTTTTTTAACACAGTTCTTAAATGTAAGAACCATTAGAGGTAAAGGGGGCATAAGTAGATGTAGTTATTGGAGACAAAGAAACAGGGAAGTAAGTATTTATTAGCAGTCAAAGGAATTTTGCCAAGAGTATAATCAAATGGAATATAGGAGCAGAAAACTGGCTAAGACTGGGGGACCTAGAGTGTAGTATCTGAGCAAAGGTTGGTCTTACAGTGGTAGATGGGTCAGAAGCATTTAGAATTGAAAGATTTTTAAAAATAAAACTGGGCTTGGAGTATGTATAGCTCAAGGCCTAACATATGCCAGGCTCCGGGTTTGATCCTTAGCATTGCAAAATAAATAACATCTATTTGTAGAGCCTAGTGTTGCAAAATAAATAAAATTTATTCGTAGATCTAGACAAGGCTGAATCTATTTTACGTGCCTGTGTATTTCCTCTATTCTGTGAAAGCATTTTGGTTACGAGGAACAGAACTCAAAGGCAGCTGGGTCGCCTACGGGGAGCCGACGTAGGGAAAGCTCTGCTCGGGAGCCGGAGTGCCATCCACAGTGCAGGAGAGCATGTATTGAAATGATGCCCCCAGAATCTTCTGGTTCTTTTTTTCAGTGATGCCATCTGCAGTTTTGTCATCTGCAATGATTCCTCCCTCCGAGGTCAGCCTGTTATCTTCAACCCTGACTTTTTTGTGGAAAAACTCCGACATGAGAAACCTGAGGTGTTCACTGAGTTGGTGGTCAGCAATATCACGAGGCTTATCGATTTACCTGGAACTGAGCTGGCTCAGCTGATGGGAGAAGTGGACCTTAAGCTGCCTGGTGGGGCTGGCCCAGCGTCAGGATTCTTCCGGTCTCTGATGACTCTCAAGCGGAAGGGTAGGAGATGCGTCTGTGGAGGGGAGTGGAGGGGAGCCTGGTCTCAGCAGCTCTCTGCTGTAGTTCTCAGATGTTTTCTTCCTGGAATGCAAGTATAGGAACCTCATTTGGCTAGTGTTTGTACATTAGCAGATGACATCCTGTGCCAGCTCCAGGGGATGATCTGTTGTGCTTTGACAGTCATGAGTTCTTTTTGTTTTAAAATTAATTTGAATATCAATGTGATAGGTATTATTACTTAAATAGGAAAACAGTCTTGCTCTTACTTTTTTTTGTGTGTGTGTATTTTAGGGAAGGGTCTACAGGGTATTCAGGGTCTCACTACTAGATTGGACTCATAGTGATCTGCCTGTTTACAGCCTCCCAAGAGCTGGGATTACAGGTGCATGCCACCATGCCCAGTCTCAGTTGCCATCTCAGTGTGTCCCGGGGGCAGGGCCGGCATGGTAGGCCCAGAGATTGAACCCTTGGCCCCAGTGCCTGCTTGCAGGGGCTTTAATCCACTGACCTATTTGGCTGGCCCCAGTCTTGCTCTTTAAACAACCTCAATTTAATGTTGACTTGGAGTTGATTTGAGAGTTGTTTTAGTTGTATTTTCTGGTGCATTTCAAATGCCCAGGTTTTTTTTTTTTGCTCATCCTGGGAAAACATTTGCTGAACTGTAGTGCTGGGACAGTGTTTTGGGTTTTTTTGGTCTTTTTCTTTTTCTTTTTTTTTTTGCAGAACCAGGGATTGAATATAGGCCTTTGCACTTGCCAGGGAAGCATTTATTCTACTGAGACATCTCTCTGGCCCCTTTTGGTCTTTTTCTGAGACAGGGTTTCGCTGTGCAGTTCAGATTGGCTTTGAACTCACTTTGTAGCCTCAACCTGAAAGCAGTCTTCCTGCCTCAGCCTCCGGAGTGCTGGGATTACAGGCATGCACCACCATGCCCAGCTGGGGTGGTTTTCAGTATGATGAATTTGGTACTATTTGTGTGAATACACTTCTTTTCTATCATGTGGGTTTTCAGAAAAAGGAGTGATATTTGGATCCCCATTGACGGAGGAAGGCATTGCCCAGATATACCAACTGATTGAATATCTACACAAAAGTAAGAGTACTTGAAGTTTTATAGTTCCTTGTTTAATGAGAACTAACTGCCTTGGATAGTAGATGCCTTTAATCATTACCAAAGAACTAACTAGTGATGATTTCCTGGCTAGATTTTAAAATACATGTCCCTTTAAGTTTCATCTTATATACTGATATGCCTCTTACTCTCAAAGATATGTATAAATTATATGACATCTATCCCTTATCTTGGAGAAATGTTTCTTCGGGAAACATTTGTTGTCATTAAAGAACTATGATATTTAAACAAAGAGGCATGTTATTTTGAATCTCTAGAATTCTATGATTCACATACACTTTTGACTTAATTTCTGTTACAATTTTTAGTAATCTTGCTGGCCATGTCATCTAAATACTTGACAAAACTGAGTATGTATGAAATATGATGACGTTGATATGTAAGGCCTTCTCTGATGCCTTGATAAATTCTGCTCAAACATTTATGCCTCTTTCAGTGTGGAACATTGTGCTAGGAGCTAGAGCAGAGGTTGTAAACTGGCACCTTACGGGGTTGAGTCGTCTGCATTTATGTTTTGTTTGTTGGCAAAGTATTACATTAAAAATAAAATTAAGTTATCGGTGTTGTAAAATGAAGATTCCAGGTTTTCAGCTTCTTTGGATGGTGGGGAAATCTAGCATTCTTGGGCCCAGTGGCCAGCTGGACATAATCAGCGAGCGCACAGGGAAGTTTTCTCCAGCTCGTTATGGTTCCCGTTCATGATTTTACTGTTAACCTGCCTGGCCCTGTATGCATGCGAACTTGGACCCTTGAAGAAGACAAAGATGAAAACACCCGCATACTTCTTCTAGGTCAAATCAAGAAGATTTGTGTTTTACTTTTTAAAGAAAAATCTCCTTAGATGAACTTAGAACCTAGTTGGAAGAGCCAAATAGTTTGGTTAGGATGACACTAAGCACTAAGCTTCTGGGAATCTCTTAGACTAACAGGTAATCTGACAACGTTTGGATTCCTGGCACAGTACAGAGACTCTAGATTTACTCTGGGTAGGGAAAACAGTTTACAGGAGCAACATACCCCACAGATGGACTCAGTTCCTCTAAGCAAAGTCTGGGATAGCAGGAGGGAGTCTTAAGGTTAAATTCTGCCTCCAGATGTATCGTAGGCGGGTGAATGACTTGGGGAGGTCGATCTGTCAGTTTGGGAGAACTCCAGATGCTTCAGGATGTTGGCTATATGTCTTCTGTGGACCAGTAGGTTTCAAGCTTCTCTGGAAGAAAGGCAAAAACTCATTTAAAGGGTTTTTTTTTTAAGGGTCTTTTAAGTAAAAAGTAGTGTGTTCGTATATATGTTTATTATATATTAATCTTTTGTTGGCACATATATTAATCTTTACATTATCTGTTTTCTTCCTGGTTCCTTGTCCTCTTGTTTTCTTCAATGCTAAACAGACTTGCGAGTAGAGGGTTTGTTTAGAGTTCCGGGCAACAGTGTCCGACAGCAGATACTAAGGGACGCTCTCAATGATGGAACTGATATTGACTTGGAGTCAGGGGCGTTTCATTCCAATGACGTTGCTACGTTGCTGAAGATGTTCCTAGGAGAGCTACCAGAGCCCCTGCTGACACACAAACATTTCCATGCGCACCTCAAGATTGCTGGTGAGTATCGGAAGTGAGAACGAATGTAAATATATTTCTTTCCATTTTTGAAGTTCTGTGGGATTTTCTGTTCCTTGTAAGCCACAGAACTTTTGTGGT